ATCTCTTATCAGTTCCGTGAAAAATGATAAGGAAAAAACGCGTTTTTCGCGGTTTTCTGCGGTTTCTCGCGTATTCCGCGAAACTGATAAGAAATAACGTCTTCGGTAAAGTTGTAGAACAGCTTGAGTACTACAACTTTGTCAAAGACATCAAGTCGATATCTCTTATAAGTTACGCGAAAAAACGCGAAAAACGCGAGTTTTTGCTTATCATTTTTCGCGAAACTGATAAGAGATAAGCAATATTTGTTGCAACCAAATTATAGCAAACCTCGAGTATTACAACTTTGCTCCAGACACTAATTTGTTATCTCTTATAGCAGTCCAGATTTCATATGAAATACATATGGGGCCCTGGAGTCCTCCAAGAACAGTTGCAAATATGAAGAACAGTCATAGTGTTAAACATACTTTTTTTTCTACTATTTTTTCTACCAAAACATATGTAATCCACACATGTGTACTCACATGTGATTCATAAACTACACATTCAAACCAATAAAGTCGAATAAAATTGATTTTCCATAAAATACCAGTGTTGTGCCAGTTAATTTGCATGAAAAATAGCCGATTTCCATATAAAATGCATTATGGGTCAATCTGACCAAAGATTCACGGATATATGTGGAAAAAACCATTCACGGTGTAAAGGTTAATATCCGGGTTTTCATTGGCAATTCATTCACCGCGTTCAATGAAATTCTCGGTCGCTTTTTCCACCGCCAAAACCAGTACACTTGCACGCTTGGATTTACCTAATAAATTTGAATGAAAAGGGAGAGAGAAAAAAATAATATCATGAAATATCATTGCATTTTTTTACTGCAAATAAATGAGCAATGAAAAAACCGCAGATATTTTTTTCTGTCTCTCTGAGTCGTTGACCTATCTCACTTGAAACGTCTTAATGTCACACACTCATTGAGTTGATGTGAGAAAACCATTGTGTTTGAGTGCAGAAAAAAGAGCAATTTTTTATGATTGCAAATTGCGAATGATGAAGAAAGCAAAGCCATTAAATCTGCACAATGTTTTCGTTAGAACATTTCATTTATTGCATAGCACACACGCACACACATAGAGAGAGGAAATGGTTCAATGGCCAATGCTTTCGTTTCACAATTTTTTTTTATATCTAAAGCAAACACAGTTCAATTTGTTTTGAATGCAATTAACCGACCTTTCTTCTTTTTGCTGAGTCCTTTTGTGTTGACCAATGTTGTAACTTGCAACACAATTGGCTCAAGTGTTTTCTCCACCAACATCGTACGAATTTTCAAATTTTTTGAATCCCATTTTAGCGAAAGCGTACCAAAATCACCAATCGTACCCATGTTTTTTTGGTTTGATCTGTTTTATACCGATTTTTCGTTGAAAATTTTCTTTGAAACATTGAAAGCAAAAATAAAATCCAAAATAATGCTAGGTTTCTTCTTTCTTCACTTAAACTTGCAGTCTGTATGCAACAATAACACAAAGTTGTTTGGCGATGACTAACGCGAACGCCGTTGACATATAAAAGTCAACAACGATGGCCAGATGCACCTTCTACTCTCTACTACTCGTTTGAAGGTGTGTGAATAGGTTTCTTTTTTTTCGTTCCTGCTCGTATTTGTTTATATGGTAGTCGAGACGCAGCAGCACTTGATTTTATTACTCATTGGATGTTTTTACACACACATACACATATGAACGTTGTGAGTTACAAAAACAAATTCAATCGAATGAAATTTATTTGCATTGGTTGGAAATCGGTTTATTTTTTTACATTTGCTCTAAAAATTAACTGACTGGGTTAATAAATAAATTTTTAAGCAGCAAAAGAAAGGAAAACTATTGTTTTGCTGTTAGTTGGACGTAAAAATTCACTGTGCACTTTGAATTGGTGTTTTGTTTTTTCTAGCAGTAGTGCCACTGGAAATTCCTGCTTTCGGACATTTGTATACCACAAATACAGACGCATACCAACGCACACGAACAACGCTCTCTTTTGACAATACAGACAAACTCACATAACTGCCCCAATCGCACAGTGTCGTGAAAGTGAACGATTTTTATTTGTAAGCGTAAGCATACATATACACAGGCAGATAATTAGAGACAGACAAGTATTGCCCGATTTATAGTTTGGTGTCTTTGGTCTTGTACCATGACATGTCTTCGAAATGTCGTCATATATGTATATTCCTTTGTTGTGACAGTACAAATATATTTACTCTGCATTTGTTTTTGAATCGATATTGTTTTGTGAGAATATCAAAAATGGATGAGGTGGGTGCACAAAAACAAGAAAGATTTGCAATATTACAACACTACAATGCTTTTCTTCTCATTTTTGCAGCATGAAAAAACTTCCAATTCAACACTTCGCAAACGAAAACTTTCGGACATATTGAACAAATATAAGCTAGAAAATCCCTTCGAAGAAGGAACAGCTGAATGGAATAAAAAAGCAGATGAGAATATACAATGTCTGAGGAAACAAATTGAGGAGCTGAAAGCAAAGCGTCCACGTTCAGTCTACAATGGTCCACCAATCGAAGTCGTGGTGCCTGGGCCAATGGGGAAGTTGTTTGCTGAAATGTCGAAGGATGGTATGAAAACATAATTTCGCAAAAATTTTGTTAGTTTATTTCAAGTGTTCATTTGTTATAAATGCAGATAAAAACAGTGTTATCACGATCCAAAGTGGACCTCTCCAAGGGCCTCCATCGGAATTTGATCTGGAATGTGAGAAAATGCTTCCGTTGTATTTTCCCAATTGTAAGACTATATGTTTTTTCCCGCAAATCTTGAGTTTCAAACACTGTTGAATTTACTTGTAGATAATGACAGAGATGTCAAAAACAACAACGAAGTAATTGAAATGGAAAAGAAAACCGGAGCTGAGTCCAAACCAGGACCGATCCAAAACTAAAGCCGAAATTTCAAATCAACCAAAAATGATGACAATGAATAAAACAACAATTCATATTATACCATGAAAATGCAATTTATTTCATTCGCGACTGTAAAATAAAGTTGATTTGAATTGATCAGTGAGAAATACAACTGTTTTGTTGTAGTTTTTTTACAATCCGAACTTGACGTTTGGTAGCATGCAATGATGATGACATGCAGAATGTTGTTTAACTAAAATGATATTTCAATGAAAAATGTAAATAGTAAGTATATGTTACATGATTGAAAGATAAATTAAAAACGAAAAAAAATCTTCGAAATACTTACATTAACCTAACAAAGAGAGATGGAGTTCAGTAATCTCAATTTGAATCTTCAGAAATCCTCGATCACGAGATCGCAACAATAATTCCGCATTTTGATCGTTTGCTTCGATTGCTCTATACAATTCTCTACGAGAGATATTCAGAAATCTCACCGCAATGTGGTTTAATCCATCAAGTAATAAACTTAAAAAATTTTCGCTTGGGCTCCAATCGCAGTAACCGCAAAAACGTTGTTCGCCTTCATAGTGTATTTCCGAAATACAGCATTCGATATGCAACGGCGAGCGGCATCTTCCTTCATTGCCTGAACAATGGAAGAACAATCCTGAACGGAGCACTTGACCGGTGTCACACATACAAAAACCGAACATTTTCCATTGATATGAACTAAAAGAAATTAAATTATGATTTAGCTATGAGATGATATGGTTTCAATAGATAAGTGACAGTTAGGAAAAGTGAAAACCTTACAACCGAACAACTGATCAAAAAACCTTTCCATTCAAATGGCTCAAAATTTTGAATGTGACGGTTATGCTCATTCACTTAACGATGCATTCAAAACTGAAAAATAAAATAAAAGACTTGGTTTGTTTTTGCTTTCTCTTTTAAATTAAATTCTTTTTAATGTTAGCAACTAAATGTACAATATAAATTCATCTGTCAAAGTATTTGTTACTTGTTAATTTTATATAGAAATTCAGTCTTATTCATCGATAAAATCATTGCTTTTGTTTTGTTTTTGTATACAACCGTTGCATGTGTCGAGTCTGTATGAAAATCAGTTTTCGATTTTTTTGATAATTGACATATGATTTGTTTTGATTTGTTGCCCAACACATAGGTAAATGTTGAACATATTTCGAAGCGATAACTTCTTGTTTCATGATTTGTTATTATTCCTATTTGACAGTTTTATTGTTGTTGTTATGTTTGTCTATAAATAGTTCTAACGGTGTCTATATAATCAATTTGATTAATTAGTGGTGGTATTGGCGATATGAATAAATAAACGCATTGAATGGGCCGAAAATAAAATACTTTCTTGAAAGAATTCATATATGTTTGCAATTGATGCAGTGCCCTAATGTAAATGGATTTTCGTATGTGATACTTGACAATATTATTTATTTACAAATTAATCGATAAAAAAATGCTTCTTTGTAGTGAAATGTTATGAAGAAAATTGACAGTCTATTTGATATTGCCTGTGTGGGTCCGAACTGGAAAAAATTCGGTTTTTGCCATCACTTTTCGTTCGGATTTTCTTCATTTCATTCTTTCACTCTCTAATACTAGCCAGTTTCTTTTGTTTCACATACATATGAAATGAATTTTATAAATATGTTTTAAATCGAAATCACAAAGTTCATTAGTCATTTTCAAATTGAATTGCATATAAATGTCCGTGGAAAAACAAATTCCTAATAACATTGGAAAATAGGGAGAATAAGGCATGGAAACGCTACAGACGATCCGGCTACCATCAGTCGTTTGAATGGAAGTATATTTTCGCATCACGTGAGCTTGATAAACTGAACACGGAACTGTACAACACATACGTGGACAAAATGAAATCCTGGCTCAAGCATGATGCATCGAGATGTTGGCAATATGTAAATTCGAAGAAGAGTACTGACAACAAACCAAAAGCCATGCAACTTGGTGATGTGCGCACGGCAAACGAAACTGAACAGGCGAACCTGTTTGCAAATTTCTTCAGTAGCAACTACGATACCTCAACGACTCAAGGCGTTCAACAATCGCCTGCCGATGAGTCACAGCAAACTGAGGAATTCCAGCTCGACATCAATTTTGTGCTCGAAGAGCTACAAGCCGTGAATACCAAGAAAGGTGCGGGTCCTGATGGTATGCACCCGTTGATACTAAAGAATTGTGCGAGTCATTTGGCGGCTCCACTCACCGAGACCTTCAACGAATCATTGTCAACTGGCCATTTCCCTGACAAATGGAAACACCCGAGTGTATCTCCCATTTTCAAAAAGGGGGCCAGATCGAAAATAGAGAACTATCAAAAGTGATCAAAATCACCAAAAAGCAACATGGCTTTATGAAGTCCAGATCCACTGCATCTAATCTCATTGAATTTATCTACTATGCCCAGAGAGGCATAAATTCTGGTGCGCAAGTGGACGTTCTCTACACGGACTTCAGAAAAGCGTTTGACAGAGTTAATCACAAGAGATTGATTCTGAAACTCAGATCGTTCAACCTGCCAGAAAATCTTCTTGCTTGGGTGGAGTCATACCTGTCAAACAGAACACAATTCGTTAAGTATGGAAGCAGCGAGCCGAACGAATTCAGCGTATCATCTGGCGTACCACAGGGAAGTCATCTCGGACCCACATCATTTTTGTTATTCATCAATGACATAGTGGACGAAATGGACGACGTGTTCATTTCCTTGTTCGCCGTTGATGTAAAAATCGCCAAAATCATCCACTCGACCACGGATGCGGAAGTGCTTCAGCGGGCCATCGATAAACTGAAGGCCTGGTGCGACGTAAACAATTTGCACCTCAACCTCGACAAATGCGCCGTCCTTACAATCACCACTAAAAAGAAGGACGTTATCGATACAAGTTACAAATACGGTGATTTCATTTTCAAGTACGTATCGGACCACAAAGATCTCGGCGTCATCATTGACCAAAAACTTAGTTTTGTCAAGCACATCGACGCAATTACATCGAAAGCAACGGCTGCCCTTGGTTTCATCAGGAGATTTTGCTACGACATAGGCGATGAACAAACGCTCAAAACGTTGTATTTCGCATTGGTTCAGTCTCATCTCAAGTACTGTAACGTCGTATGGCTACTAACTTATGCCGTACATATCGACAAGATCGAGGGAGTTTTGAGGAAATTTACTCAGTTTGCCAGAAGAGAGTATCGGACAGCGGCCAACGGATATATCACCGAATACAATAAGCGACCCGAGGCCCTTGATATGTTATCATTAGAAAAAAGGAGAGTAAATGCAACAATTGTATTTATTTACGATGGTTAAATTGATTTTGCTAGACCAAAATGGGAAAGTGTACGACCAAAATGGGAAAATGTTTGACGAAAATCGGAAAATGTTCGACGAAAATCGGAAAATGTTTGACCAAAAATCGGAAAATGTTTGACCAAAATCGGAAAATGTTTGTCGAAAATCGGAAAATGCTTGACCAAAGTGGTGGGAAATTGTCTGACCAAAATGGGAAAATGTTTGACGAAAATCGGAGAATGTTTGACGAAAATCGGAAAACGCTTGACCAACCGAATTTTACTTTAAAAAATGTGAATTTGTTAAAAAAAATTGAATATATTGGGAGTGTGAATTAATTTGTGCCGTTTGACAAAAGATGGCGTTAATAGATTATTATTCCATTTTTCCAAATATTCATTGGAAAGCTACTGTCATTACGCGTCTTTTTTAGTCTGTGTCATTTGATTGAAGCGTAAACAATAACATTTTTTATTCAATTGGAAATGTCGAATTTCGTGCCAGATGAAGTGTTTTTACGGGGCGTTCTTCTTCATTGTTTTATGATGAAGAAAAGTGCAGCCGAAAGTCATCGAATTTTAGTGGAAGTTTATGGTGACCATGCTCTAGCTGAGCGAACGTGTCAAAAGTGGTTTGCACGATTTAAAAGTGGTGATTTTGGCTTAGAAGACGAGGAGCGGCCAGGACAGCCAAAAAAGTTTGAAGATGAAGAATTGGAGGCATTACTCGACCAAGATTCGTGCCAAACGCAAGAAGAACTTGCAGATTCATTGGGAGTTGATCGCTCAACCATTGCAAAACGTTTGCATAATCTGGGAATGATCCAAAAGCAAGGAAATTGAATACCATACGAATTGAAGCCAAGAGACGTGGAACGTCGATTTTGCATGTCAGAAATGTTGCTTGAACGCTTCAAAAAAAGGTCGTTTTTGCATCAAGTTGTTACTGGTGATGAAAAATGGATCCACTACGATAATCCAAAACGAAAAAAATTGTGGGTTAAGCCCGGCCATGCATCAACATCGACGGCCAAGCCAAATATCCATGGCGCCAAGGTAATGCTTTCTATTTGGTGGGATCAGAAGGGAGTGCTCTACTATGAGCTGCTAAAACCTGGTGAAAGCATCAATGGTGAACGCTATTGACGACAATTGATCAAATTGAACGCAGCAATCAAAGCAAAACAAGCCGGAATATGCGACCAGACACGAGCCCATAATATTCCATGATGACAATGCCCGGCCTCATCGCACTCAACCGGTCAAAAATTAGGTGGAGAACGTCGGATGGCATGTTTTACCCCACCCCCTTTATAGCCCAGACCTTGCTCCTTCCGACTATCACTTGTTTCGATCCATGCAGAATGCCCTCACCGGAACACGCTTCACTTCAGTTCAAGGAATCAAAAATTGGCTTGACACGTTTTTGGCCGCCAAGCCGGCACAGTTTTTCCGGGATGGAATCCATAAGTTGCCAGAAAGATGGCAGAATGTAGTGTCTAGCGATGGACAATACTTTGAACATTGAATGTATAAACATTTTTTCGAAATAAAGCTTCAATTAAAAAAAAACGTCACGAATTAATTCACACTCCCAATATTTTTTGATTCCATTCTAAATTCTCGATGTGTTCGTGCCATATAATAATATTTTGTATAAATGCATTCAATTGTGGCGCGGAAAAATGGGTAAACAATGCTTAGAATGATTTTTATAACAATTTGGTGCCAATTAAGCCACCTTTAACTCATAAAGAAAATAAGTATTATCATAATGTTCCTACTCCAGTCTGTGATACTTTTTTAATTGAT